ATATTTCATTTAAACGGGGGGGGGGGGGCACATAAAGCAAAGCATTGAAAAAAATAAATAAATGATGAACGAAGCAAAGTGCCGACTACACCGAGCATCTTCTTGTTTCCTCTGATTGTAAAAAGAGAGAGATAGCGACAGAGAGAGAGCGACAGAGAAAGAGAGTGAGCGAGAGAGTGAGCGAGAGGTGGGGGTTTACATGAAGCAAAGTAAAAAAATGTAAATAAAAAAACATTACGAAATGATGAACGAAGCAAAGTGCCGAATACACCGAGCATCTTCTTGTTTCCACTGATCGTAAAAAAAAGAGAGAGAGAGCGACAGAGAGAGAGAATGCCGAACGGCGCGAACGGCGCGAACAGCGCGAACAGTGGCTCGTGTCCGGCCACTTCCTTTCTTTTTCCGCGGCCGCTTCAAAATGACGGGAAATTCCGATGGTGTTGCCGTTGGCCAAGCTTAACGGGCCCCAATAGTGTGCAAGTGGCGACTCCACGCTGCGTGTTTTCCAGCGGCAGGCTTGGCAGCGGCGAGCTTCGCTGACTAGTCTTGGTGAGTCCTAATGAGAACGAAACCGGTCCATGTGTTGCGTCCTATCGCTGCTGCCGCTGCCGGTTGCGCTCAAATGAACCTTATGGCGGTACCCCGGGTACCATAGTACCGTGATGCGGTCATGTTTAGTCTGTTGATGAGTCGGCGATGCGGCAAATCGACTCATCTCGACGAGCTGTACACGATGCACTATTCAGAGTTGAATTTTTCGACAACGGATTTTTTCTTCTTGGTTCTTTCGGTAAAGTCACGTAGAAGGGAAGTAATAAAATAATAAAAATAAAACATAATAAAACAATTCTCACGACGTTTCGGCCACAACGCAAGCAGCCGTCCTCAGGTGAAAACCAGGTCACCTGAGGACGGCTGCTTGCGTTGTGGCCGAAACGTCGTGAGAATTGTTTTATTATGTTTTATTTTTATTATTTTATTACTTCCCTTCTACGTGACTTTACCGAAAGAACCAAGAAGATGAATCCCTGCAGTCACGAAAGCTTTAAATCGAAATTTAACGGATTTTTATGCTGATGTTTGGCGTTTCGACATCGCGGAGTGGCACCGATTTCGGATTGATTGGTTACCCCAGTCGCGGAGTTTAAGTAACGGCCCTGGAAAAAAATTAGTGTCCCAGAAATAAAAACATTAATTGCTTCGGCCAATTTTGTATTACTTTGGTACCCTGGGGTACCGCCGATGAGGATCAGATGTTGCTCGAGTGTAATTGTGACGATGGTTGTTGAGACGAGCGGATAACCGCAATGGACTTCATCTGTTGCTTTCCGCTTGGTGCATTAAACGTGAACTCTGACCACCCCCCCCCGCCCCCCCCGGCTCTCCTTTATTTCCACGCGTGTGAAATATGGACCACGACTCGGTGGCACATTTTTAATCTGCCAGGTGTAAGGCCCCACTGAGCTGCTCTTTAGTAGCCCCCCTTTTTCTTTCTTTCAGAAGTGACCTGGCCATCGCAAAGGATGGCTCAGCGAAGCGGCTTAATCTGCCGCGTGGTACAAAAATGTAGAGCCGGACAAATTTGCTCCGAACGCGCGACGTCGATTCTGAACGCGGAGGGGAGGGGAGGGGAAAAACCCAGGAGGACCCGGAGAAAAATCCACGCGACCACGTGGGAGCTAGAGACACGCAAACTCCAAATACAGCAGCAGGCTTCAGGGTCGGGATCGAACCGGCGACTTCCTGCGTACCAGGCGAGGTAGTTAACATCTCCTAGCCACCGTGACGCCACACTGCAGGCGGACCACAGGGGCGGACGGAATGTTGCCACAAAGCAGAACGCGGGATTCCCACACTTTACCCCCTCCCCGTCGCCCCCACCGTTGCTGTCCATCGGGGCATTACGGAGATCGCAACCGGCTAGGTTGTGACCGCAACGCGAGGCAGCGCGGTCGTCATCGGCGCTGGGTGGAGAGTGCCCTCCCCACCCCACCACCCCCTCCCCCCCCCCGCAGTGTAGCCTGTCCGTCCAGGGGTAAATGGCAACTCGGTGCGAGTGTTGACGCTGACAAAGCGGACGAACGCATCCGACTCTTCTCCTACGCGCGCGAGCGCTGGTACAGCGAGCTCGTACAGCGAGCGCTTGTACAGCGAGCGCTCTGACTACGTATTATTCACACAGCACGCACCGCGAACCGGTGCAGGGTCGGTATAAATCCGCGGAAGCACCACCCAGTGGTGGAGAAATGCACCAGGAAACCAAAAATCTCGACAAGCCACCGCGACTTACCAATATATACACATAGAGAGCCTGCAAATGTGCACTCTCGCAGCGAGTACATGCAAGCGCGCACACACACGCACACACGCGCACACGTGCAGGATAACACTTTCTCAAGCGCCACAACTCTTGGCCCCTTGTCTGCAACGGCCCCGACTATCGCCAAAGGCGGGAGAGGGGTGGGGGGGGCCCTCGCATCCTCCCCAATATTCTCCACTCGAATACAAAATTAACGAAGCCGCCGGTAACGCACTGCACGCGTGGGGGGTGGTGGTGGGGGATCGAGGTATGAGGACTCGAGAAACCCCACCGTACGCAGCCAACCGTGCCGATCGGGAGGCGCGTACGGCAGCCCACTTTGCACCATTTCATGTGATACACGTGTGTGCTCATGCGTACACGCGCGCTTGCACACACAAAGATCCCCCCCGTATAGCCTGTAACAGACTGTTGGGGCGAGCCCTGTTAGCGAGTAGCACCGATGAAGGCCGGCACGGCACATGAGGGGGTGGGTGGCCAGCACCACGTCCGGCCGCCTTTGTCTCGCGATTTTTACACACCGAACCAGGTACCCAATTGAGGCTGAGTCTACCTAGGGGAGGCCCAGAGGACCTGTTCAGAAAAATCGTCGCTGGTGTTGGCCGCGAGCGGGTAACGAACTCGCGTCGTCGGGTTTCTCAGCGCAGCGCCCCGACCACTGTGTGGTGCCACAGCGACGGGGCCGCTCTGCCGAGCCAGGGAGCCGCCCGGCTTCCCCCACCGCACTGCCCCCAATCACCCGCCCCACATAAGCACACACCCGCACGCATCCCCCCCCCCCCCCCCCCCCCCCCCCCCCCATAGAGCTGGAAGGGAAGGTTACCTGATCGACCGGTTTTTATCCGAGAGACCCTTATCGGGATTAATTCTCACGGTTTCCGGCGATCAGGGAATTGGATGACCTCCCCCGTGCTACGTGGTACCGCGGCGCTGCTGCCGGCCTTAATATGGTGTGGTCGCGGCGTGGGGCATTCGGCCACCGCGGTTGAGGCGCATTTCCCCCCACACACACCCCCACGAGTCGACGGGGCAAGCAGGGGAGGCACGGGACAGCATGAATAGCGGGGTCACAGGGGCTGTTGCGCATAGTCATGGAGGGTTGGGATAATTGCGCTTGAGCGCGCAAGCCCCATTGGTAGGAAGGGTAAGGGAGTAATTAGGATTTACGCCTTGCACGCAGCACACTGATTAGCATATCAACAGCGCCTGGGGACTGCCGTGCGCGGGCTTGGGGTGCACGAGCCCATTGTTCAGCGCAGCATCCCCTTTGGGAGGTAGGGAGGATAAATAGAGGAGCGCAGAGGGGAAATCGCTCTCTTACTCCAGCGCCAGGCGACCAGACGCAGCTCGGGCCACCGACCCGGACGTCCGTGCGACGCACCGAGGCACGCGGTTAACACAAGGATCAGCGGACCGCCGTGGACACTTAACAGTGAGTAAGAAGGGGAATTAGAATCATAGCCGATAAATAGGGAATAGGTACAGGTTTAGTGGAATAGGCCAGCCTCGTCGACTCACTGATTCAACATCAATTCGCAGGTGGCATATAATAAATCATTAATAGCGAAGCGTGGTCTCGCGTGATCTTGTCGTGCAGTGTGAGCGTGTGGGTGCGCTGTGTGCACAGTGGTTCGCCACGTGAGTGAGCGCTGCGCGGAGCTGAGCGCGCGGGTTGCGTGTGGGAACGCGTGTGGTACTGTGTGTGCGTAAGCTCGCGGCGTGCGTAATAGGCGTACCCCAGGTGCGCGATCATAACGCAAGCGGCCAGCAGACGGCGAGCGCTGCGCAGAGCGGCGCAAGAGTGGGTGTCGCGTGTGTTCACTCCGTGTGTGATACAGGTGCGCGATCATAACTTGCGTAGTTGGTGTGGAGTTGGAGTGCACGGAGCGGCGTGTGTGTGTGTGCATACGTTCGTTACATGTCGGACACGGATGCGCATTGGTAACGTGCCGCACAGGGCTATACTGCGAGCACGGCGTTTGATTGACGATGATGTGCGCACGTATGCTCGCAGCGTGGGAGCGCGGCGCGAGGCTGTAACCGTGGTGGCGTCGCATTCGAATGCCGGCAAAACCGTAGCGAGTAATAGGGAGGTGGGGTAACTTAAACGGAATAGGGGATGCTGGCGGGAGGGACCCCGGGGGCCAACGGCCCCCACAACTGCACGAACGCTCCCAACGCGTGCAGACACACGCACTGCTCACACACACGCACACACACACACTCGTACACGCACACACACGCGTACACGCACACACACACACGCACTGCTCACACACACGCGTACACGCACACACACGCGCACACGCACACACGCGTACACACACACGCACACACACACGCGTACACGCACACACACGCGTACACGCACACACACGCGCACACACACACACGCGTACACGCACACACGCGTACATGCACACACACACACGCGTACACGCACACACGCGTACATGCACACACACACACGCACACACATACACACGTACACGCACCACACACACACGCGCACACACACACACGTACATGAACACACACGCAAACGTGTGCACGAGCAAAATACCAAGGGGACTGGAATGCGCCGTCTCTGCGGTGGTACGCTCCACACATTTGGTATTCCTTTGAAAAAAAAATCCCTAAAAAAAATCATCCCCTTTAAGAACTCCAATTCTTTCACATGTTGTCAAGATTCACACAAATACCCTTTATTCTCATGACAAACGGCAGAATAAATAAGACGTTGTGTGCGCGTGCATTGCAGAATATTTTGGGGTCTTATTTTTTTTAATAACATAGTGCACCCAAGTAGCCTCCCCCCTCCTCCTCCTCCACACTCGTCGTGAGCAATACGTCTAAAAAAGAAAAAAACCCTAAAAATAAGACAAATAGAAACAGTACTCAGCCCTTGTCATATTTTTTTTTCAAGTTTCAAGTAGCAAAACAATTGGAACTAACGGCGCCCTTCACCGTCGATTGCTGAGGAGCACAACGATTTGCACGATAATAAAATTTAAAGTGGCAGTTTTAAAAAAAAACTAAAATTAAGTTTGACTCGACCTCGACTAGAAAAACAGGTGAAATGGTCATTAACTCCCCCCCCCCCAGCCCGCGCTTGGTTAAAATCCAAATCGCCGCTCTTCCTTCAATCGTTAAACACGAACACATCTCGCTCGAGGCTCGTACTTTATAGATATAATAATAATGTGTTTTAAATCGCCACACTCTTAGAAAGCACACGTGATAGCAAGCTTCGGTCTTTCTCGCTTGCCAAAAGAGACGATGCCGTCAAATGGGCTCCTCTCACTCGGGCTATAAATCGGAATACGAATTATCGAAACGATTTAAAGCACAGAGAGAGAGAGAGAGCTAAATGAATGTCATCACTTAGCGATGCTTCTTGACTCCGCTAGAGCGACCCTCCGCCCGCCCCCCGCCTCTTACAAATAACGTTTTTAGAGTCCCGACACAAACCGTGCTTGGCCTCAACCGCATGGCTCGCCAGCATCAAAGTAGCGGAATGGGCAGCACGTCCATGCAACCAGGGGGGTGGGGGGGGGGGAGAAGGGAGCGAACGACAGAGGTCGCAAACGGGTTTTGATTCCTTACCCGTACCCGGCGGCACCAGGGTTGCAAATGGGTACCCGTATCTGTACCCGGCCGTACCCGTACCCTACCCGTACCCGGCCCGGTGTGGGTAGGGTACGGGTATCGGGTACCTGATTGCGACCTCTGGGATGAAGCCATGTTGCAGGTGCGGGTGGGTTGATTCAACTAACTTGAATTGTGAGAAGAGACAAGACGTTGGGAAATGAGTGACAAACAGTTGCTCACCAGTGACTCAAGGCCTACCCGTACCCGGCCGCACCAGGGTCGCAAATGGGTACCTGTACCCGGTCGGGTACGGGTAGCCGGGTATCAGGTAGGGTACGGGTATCGGGTACCCGGTTGCGACCTCTGGCGAGCGAGCGAGAGGCACGGATTTGGGGGGGGGTGTCGATTCCAAAGCGCACGTGGTCCGTCTGCCACGGGGAGCCGAGCGTGAAACGCGGAGGCGCCAATTTCGTTTCGGTTCGAGCGCGCGGTGGTGGACGGGGACTTTACGCGACCACCCAAAATGTTGTTCGGCAGCAGAGGACACTTGGGTCGGATCGGGGGAAATAATAAATGCGTCGTTCGTTAGACACACGCGTCGCCACCCGACGCACAGCCAATTGGTAAGGTTCGTCACATGAAACTAAACATGCCGAACTAATAGGCACGTGTTGTTAACGTGAACCTTGCCAATTGGCTGTGCCAGGTGGTGGCGGGTTTAACGACGCATTTCTATTTTTATACGCTGATCTAACTCGAAAGCCTCTATTGCGGACAATTTCGTTTCGTTTAAAATTTGTATACTAATTGTTTAACAATTCGAAGCTCGCTCTTCCCATCCCCATCCCTCCTTATGTTTTTGTTTTCGCCGTCCGCTTGTAAGCGAGAACGCTCCGCCGTGTTGGCGAGCATCGAAGGCACAGCCTCACGCGCGCGCAGGAAACCGCGCGAACGCGACGCGAAACGCAATTTGACGCACGCGGATCGCGTCTCGCGTCGGCGATGATCTCTCCCTCGTTTTTTTTTTTGGTTTTTTTGTTTTTTGTTAAAAAATAAAATAAGTCGTATAATAATTAAAAAACAAAAAAACCAACTAATTCAAGTTTTCCCCCCCCCCCCCCACCTCCCACCCACAGCCGCCTCCACCCGCCTCCCTCCTCCAACTTGACGAAGAAGATGCAGCAGCTGTGGCTGGCGCTAACAGGTCGCGCGCGGCAGGCAGGCAGGCAGGAAGACAGGCAGGCGAGCAGGCCGGAAGAGGGCGAATGGAGCAAGGGAGTTCATTGTATTGTCGATCCGACCCGGGTGGTTCCATCTCCCAGCGCGAACCTCCTCTTCCTCCTGCTCCTTATTCTTCCTTCCTTCGTCACGCTCCGCCCGCCCCAATCGAAATTGTCCATTTTCAAGGAGACACATCGGTCGGACGTCGGTGGCCGATCGGCGTTCTCCGACGTCGGGAAGCCGACGGCCTCCTCCGTGCGGCACGGCCACCGCCACCCGTGCCCGCCAGCCCAGCCCCTCCCAGCCCAGCCCAGCCCAGCCCCCCACCCCCTCGACCTCCTCTCCGCGCGACTCCACGGGAAGCCGCTTGCCCACACGGTGGGCCGAAAAACAGCGGAGGACGTTCTTAGGATTTCTGCTATTTTTATTTACTTATTTACGTTTTTTTTGTTGTTGTTGTTTTTTTGTGTTTTCCCGAAGGAACATTTTTTTTGTTTTACTTCAACGTATTTTGTGTTTTTTTTGTTTGTTTACGGCGTGCTGGGCAGAGTCATGAGTGGCCGGTGCGTAACGTCATCCGCTACGCCCTCGGAACGCTTTCCTTGGGAGTCGTCGCGATGCTGCTGCGGCTGCTGGTGAGGAGTAACGAGGCGCGCCGCAGCAGAGTCCTTCCGCGACCACACGTAGTGCGCCGTGAGAGGGCTCGTCAGGAAGTCCTGCCGGGTGACACGCGGACGTTACGCGCGGTAACAACACAGGTGGCGTAAAACTGCGCGGCGCACAAGTTCAACCGCGAGCTGTTTTTATCTGAGTCGGTGGAGGCCCACTCGACGCTCACCGCTGGCGGCTCTAGAGAGCAACCCCCCCCGCGCCCACCCGCCGCAGAGGGGTGGACTTTGGTCTACTCTTCCACGCTGGCCGCAGGAGGTGCGGAGTAATCACGTTTTGCCCGCAACCGCACGAGACCTTGCCGATCGTTGACTCACCCCGATGTTACTTTACACTGCTGAATGGACAATTCTCGCACCGAAAAATGGAATTTAAACTTTTTTTAAAATCCTTTATATTAAGCTCACTTGCTTGCTTGCTTGCGCGCTTACGACCGTGCAAATCTTTCGGTCGTTTTTTAACCCACTTCCCGTGATCCAATCGAGCTGACATTTTGCACACAGACTCGTTGTGCGTGACAATTTATTTTCGTGAAACATTTTTCCGTAACTTTACACTTTTTAGGAGAAAAAATATTATATTTAATTACCAATTGCTTAATGGTGGCAGGCAATCATCTGACCCATAGGTGGCAGCCATCTCAAGCCAGAGGACGAGAGGACTCTAGCCGCCACGCATATACAGGATTTATAGTGAAAAACTTTGTTTTTACGGGTTAATTTTTTTAATGTTGGGTTGAAAATTTTTGACGGGTAACGTGAAACATTTGATGATGATGGCAATGCTACGAAAACAATATTTTCACATTTCAAATTTAAGTAAGGAAACAAATAGCTGTGGCCAAAGATGGCCGTCATATGGCCTCTAGCGCTGCAGTGGACTTGTTTAAGTCAAATTATAAGAAACAAAACCCTTTGGTTCTTTCGGTAAAGTCACGTAGATAGAAAATTAATAGATCACGATGTCTTCTTAGGTTTTTTCGGTAAAGTCAGGTGGGTAAAAAATTAAAATTAATAAAAGTAAAATAAAAATAAAATAAAAATCACGACGTTTCGAAGGCAACACAAGCTTCCGTCTTCAGGTGGAACCGTCACAGCACGATAGCTGTATCACTTGATACAGCTGTCACTTGATACAGCTATCGTGCTGTGACTGTTCCACCTGAAGACGGAAGCTTGTGTTGCCTCCGAAACGTCGTGATTTTTATTTTATTTTACTTTTATTATTTTTTTTTTACCTACGTGACTTTACCGAAAAAACCTAAAAATATGAATCCTTGCAGTCACGAAAGCTTCAAATCTAGATCACGACGTCTTTCTCTCTCACCTGAAGACGGTCGCTTGTGTTGCGATCAAAACGTCGTGAACTATTAATTTTCTACCCCACGTGACTTTACCGAAAGAACCAAAGAGCGTGGATTCCTGCAGTCACGAAAGCAGCTTCAAATCAAGATTGATAAGAAATAAATTCGATGACTCGTCTGCGTGCAGCTGGGACTGACGGAGCAAAGGTGAGCACCCGCCTTTTGCCGGACAAGTCTTCAGTTTCCCATTCCACACAGAATATCTGCCTCATCGGACGATCTCGTTCGTCTTAGTACGCATGTTGAGCTTCTTCCCCATCGTACGTAGCCAAATCGTAGGTGCTCACCAACAAGCACTTGCCCCAACAGACCGTTAAGGCTATACAGGGGGATCTTTACCTTTGTCTGTTTGCTTACTTGTGAGTGTGGGCGCTTGACGGGCATTAGCATCCTGCTAAGATCCTGAAACTCAACATGACGTTAATTTCTGCCCATTCACACCGGTTACACCTGAACCTCACCTCTCAGGTCAATTCAGCACAATTGCCAAGTCCCTGGTGCCGTGGGCGAGCATCAGACGTTGGGTGGGGCCAGGGAAGGTTTTGGTGATACGATTCTATGCCGTGTTGGAGGACCTCGTTGGTTCCCGAAGATCAGCTCGCAAACTACCCGATCACCTCGCTGCCGGCCTTCACAGGGGCGCTCGCCAGCAAGCACTTGTCCCCAATAGACGTGAAGGCTATCCGGGTGGGGAAGGGGGGTATGTTTATCTTTGCCTGTGCGTGCGTGTTCCTCACCGCGTGCGATGCTCGCGCGTGCACGTCGCGCTCGTGCTTGGCGGAGCGCGTGGGCCGCGCGCAGTATTGCTCCAGCTGCATCAGCGAGCAGGAGCGGAAGCAGCACTCCTCCACGATGCCGCCCGCGCGCCGGCCCAGCCCGCCCCGGTGCCCGCTCGGTCGCACTGCACCGAGAGAGACAGAGACAGAGATGGTGTCACCCCCACCCCGTGCGCACGGACAACAATCAACAACAACAACAACAACCACCGGACCATTCGCCGCTAAGTGGCGGTGACATCACCATGGCGCCTGTGCGCGTTGAGGCCGCGTGACGTGTCGAACGAACCGCTGGCAGGAGGTCACGGGGCAGCAGAACCCAGGCGCCACGGGTCGACTGACTGACTGAGGTGGACAGGCCGATGCACCACCTGTGGCCCCCAATATGCCAACTTGCTGTGTTTTATCCCCCCCGACGCTCCACTCGTTGTTGTGAGCGTCATTCCTCTGCCCTCCGTTGTTGCTGGAGGGCGACTGCTTCCAACTGCCCAGTAGCGTCCTTCACGAGCCTCCTCCACAGAGGCCGATCTTGACACCGCTGGTACCAGTCATCGGCAAGTCCACTCAGCTCCACATCCTCCCGTACCACGTCACTCCATCTCTTCTCTAGCCCGTCCCGCGCCCGTTCAGCCCCCTCTATCCAGCCGAACAAAAGCTGTTTAGGCATGCGGTGGCTGGGCATGCGGGCTACATGACCCAGCCAATGCAGCCTTGCCTGCCGGAGGAGCTCACCGATGGGACTGTGTCCAGATCTTTCACGTAATTGTGAGCTCCTCACACAAATCCACCCAGGTTAAACCCAGGATGGATGGTAGGCACGAACACACACGCACGAGATCGTTCACGGAGCACGGCCCGATTTCATGCGCAGCCTCTCGTATTGTATGCCGAACTTCTTTCGCACCGTACACTAGCCAACCGTGCTAATCCGAGGTACGGGGGTAAGGACAACAATACTAAACACGTGCGAGCCGGAGGGAGGAAGGGGTCGAGAACGCAGAAGAAGGAAATGAATAAACGCGTGTAATATGAACACGTGGAAGAACATGCGCTTCACAAACAGTTGCAAGTTAATTCTAGATTTGAAGCTTTCGTGACTGCAAGGATTCATATTCTTAGGTTTTTTTCGGTAAAGTCACGTAGGTAAAAAATTTTAATTAATAAAAGTAAAATACCTTTACATCATTCGCACCTAGTTGACACAACAAAGGCCCATTCCTAACAGCGTGCTTCAGCCGCACCGAAACTCACAAAAATAATATTCAGGGCCTACTTTGGCTCCTCCCACCCTCAACCAGTATAAATATAAATACTGTGTTCTTGGAATTCCTCTCACTTGATACAGCTATCGTGCTGTGACGGTTCCACCTGAAGGCGGAAGCTTGTGTTGCCTCTGAAACGTCGTGATTTTTATTTTATTTTTATTTTACGTTTATTAATTTAAATCTTTTACCTACGTGACTTTACCGACAAAACCTAAGAATATAGTTGCAAGTTAGCAGCAGCAGCAGCATGTAGAGCAGCGTTCTTCATGGCAAGGCCTCGCTGTACCACTGGTGGCCCAACTGGTGGCCTTTAGTGTGGGCCCTGATGTGCGGCCACCCCGACAAGACACAAAGAGTGACAACACCCCCCCCCCCCCCCATCATCATCGTCGGCCTGCTGTCAAACCCCCAACAATGGTTTCAAATGTGTGGCTGCCCTCACACTGATGATGTGTTATCGGCGAAAGTGGTACCCTCTCCTCTGAAAATGAGTGAAGAACACTGCACTACGCTATGCACTACACTATACACTACGCTACACACTACACTACACACTACACTACACACTACACTACGCTACACACTACACTATACACTACGCTACACACTGCACTACACACTACACTATACACTACGCTACACACTACACTACGCTACACACTACACTGTGCACTACGCTACACACTACACTATACACTACACTATACACTACGCTACACACTACACTATACACTACACTATACACTACACTATACACTACTATACACTACACTATACACTACACTATACACTACGCTACACACTACACTATACACTACACTATACACTACACACTACACTATGCTCCACACTACACACTACACTATACACTACACTATACACTACACTATACACTACACTACACACTACACTATGCTACACACTACACTGTGCACTACGCTGCACACTACACACTACACTACACACTACACTGTGCACTATACACTACACTATACACTACACTACACACTACACTACACACTACACTATACACTACACTACGCACTACAATATACACCACACTATATACGACACTGAGTGTGTGTCGGCCCCTCACTCACACTGATGGTGTCTTATCGTCGGCAATAGTGGCACCCCCCCCCACCCCCCACCCCCCCTGACAATGAGTGAAGAACACTGGGGGGGCAGGCGGGCGGACGGCATTCGCACGCGGGCACGGACACACGTGGCACTCCTGGTCCTGTGTGCACGTGACGTTGCGCCCGAGGGCTTAATGAATAACCACATAGACCCGTCGCGTATGCGCCGATGCACTGAAGTCTACTCTGTTTGTCCTTTCGTTGTCGTAATATTGATTTAACCCAGCCGCGCGGCCCGAAACCCCCTGCGTTTTGTTCGTCCCCCCTCCCGTTCACCTCATCATCCTCCTCATCATCCTCCACAGAGCCCCAGCGTAGCCAAATCTTTTTTTTGTGCATGGTCAGCGAAAGAGACGGCTCACCGTCATGCCTGGCACTAACCACCCACACCACCACCGACCCTCCCTCCCTCCCACTGCTGTACCCGTCTGTTCACAGCCCGTTTTATGAATTCACTGCTGGATGACACCCCCCCCCCACCCCGATACTTGCTGTGTGGGTCACGGCGGGTCATGCGAGCACACTTTTCCCCAGTAAACATGGAAATGTTGGGCCAAACATTGCCACGCGGTTGGAACCACTGGATGAACCTTGGGACAACCTTGGCACAAGCTCTCCACGTTTTACTGGGTTGTCAAAAACTTTTATTTTTATTTTACCAGGTAAGGCGCACTGAGATAAATGGCTCTTTTTTTTTAGAAGCGACCTGGCCGCAAATGATAGTCCATCACGTGGAGATTTATAGCAAAAACCGGAGGACCCGGAGAAAAATCTACACCACCACGGGGAGAGAGACATTCAAACTCCAAATATACAGCAGGCATCAGTATCGGGATCAAACCCACGAACTCCTGGGAACCGGGCGAGGTAGTTAACATCTCCTAGCCACCGTGGTGGCACCCAAAATTGTTAAAGATAATAACGGCACATCAGTAATCCTTCACTGAAACAGAGACACCGTCTCTCATTGAGGCAGCTCTGAAATACAAATTAGACGCAATTGATTGATCACACTTGCTGGACTCTAACCACTGTCATAATTTTATTTTGTCAAGAGCCCACCACATCGACTACAAATGTAAATAATTATGACTATAATATGCCACACTGTAGAGTTCTTGGGCGGTTAAGAACATTGATTTGAGTGTGTGCAATATCTTCCATGCTTTCATGTGCCACGGTTCTTTTTGCGCTGATTTTTTATTTGCTGCGTTGCTGCATTTTCTATCTTATTTGCTGAGATTTTTTTGTCATTTTGGTGACCCCCCGTCCCACTGCTCCAGTTCAACAAAATAAACTCTGAAATGTAAACGAGTAGAGAATGTGGAGGCCATCATCCAGCAGTGGATCGACCATCGGGGCCGTGCGCGTGCATTTTTGTTCGTTTTTCGCATTGATAAAAATAGCGATTGCAGACCACAACACACACACACGAAAAAAATTATAGTCAACATTCCAAAAGGAGCAGAACACTCTAAAACCACGTTCATTGTCCGGAGAATGAAAACAAATGGTTTTGTGGCCACTTGGCACAGACGCGGGTCATGTTACAGCCCGTTGATAATGAACGAACATGATCACGCAACGAACTTTTGTTGTATCAACAATAGATTACTTAATATGAATAAAAAAAACACGAATAAACGCATAAGTAAAAAAAAATGGAGAGAGAGAAGCAAAAAAAAAGAGATAAACCCACGAAACATTTTTTTTTTATCAGAAAACAAACAAACAAAAAAAAGGTTTGTGCACTAGATAAAGTGAGATATTGAGATTTGCCGAGTCAGCCAGTAGTGTGTGAGCTGTTGCCCAAAAGAAGCCCTGTTTACTGACCGCCTCTCATGCCCCGTGGCAACTTCCACCCTTGGCCCCTTACTCCCCCCCCTCTCTCATCACCGCAGCCTCCGCCTTCTCCTCTTGACCCGACAAACCCCCTCATAGATACACCAGCAAGCCCCCCCACCCACCCACCCACACACCCCCACTTCCCCCCACCTCCCCGACTCACCTCTCAAATCCACTGGTGACCCGGCTAGGTAAACACGGGTGTACGCTCACCAGAATTTTTTTTTAAAAAAGTGACGGATAGGCCTTTCAGGACAGTGCGTAACCGTGCGTGTCTGTGCGTACGTGTCTTTTCCTCAAAGGAGTACCTGGCGCGGTGTGTAAACATCGCCACTGGGGAGACAAAGGCGGCCGGGCGTGGTGCTGGCCACCCACTCCTTCGTGTGCCGTGTCGTTCTTAATACAGTGAGGGAAAAAAGTATTTGATCCCCTGCTGATTGCTGATGTTGTACGTTTGCCCACTGACAAAGAAATGATCAGCCTATAATTTTAATGGTAGGTTTATTTGAACAGTGAGAGACAGAATAACAACAACAAAAATCCAGAAAAACGCATGTCAAAAATTGTATAAATTGATTTGCATTTTAATGAGGAAAATAAGTATTTTCCCTCATTAAAACTTACAAAATCAGCAGAGGATCAAATACTTTTTCTCTCACTGTAGGTGCTGCTCGCTAACAGCACTTGTCCCTACTGTCTGCTAAGGCTATACGGGGGATCTTTATCTGTGCATGTTGTGTGTTTGCGTATTTGTGAGTGTGGGCGCTTGATGAGCATTAGCATCCTGTTAAGATCCTGAAATTGAACATGACGTTAATTTCTGCCCATTCACACCGGTTACACCTGGACCTCTAATTCAGGTCAATTCAGCAGAATTGCTCAGTCAGACGTTGGGTGGGGCCAGGGAAGGTATACTCTTAGTTCTTTCGGTAAAGTCACGTAGGTAAAAAATGAAATTAAAATTAATAAAAATAAAACAATAAGACCACGACGTTTCGGAGGCAACACAAGTCTCCGTCATCAGGTGGGACCGTCACAGCCAGATTTGCTGCATCAAGCCAGAACTATGAATCCTTGCAGTCACGAAAGCTTCAAATCTAGAATTAATAGCCAGGGAAGGTCTCTGGCGAGACAGCGCAAATTCTACGCCGTGTTGGCCGTCAACTACAGAAGAGGAGCTCGCAAAACCCGCTAGAAAATAACCTGCATCGTTACACTGTGCAACGAATTATTTTCTTTAATTCATTATGTTTGTCTTTGTGTGTCGTCGTCATCGTTGTCGTGTGCCACGCCACGTACCCACGTAGAATCCATCCGGGCCGCACACAAACTGCAGCGTGTCCACCAGCTCGGAGCCGCAGAGCGTCTCGGCCGAGCAGCGTTCACTCCACAGCGCGCACAGCGCCAGCGCGAGCCACAGCAGAGCCTGCGAGCGGCACGGAGAGACCATCGGCGATGGGTAAGGGGAGGTTAGTCGGTGGGGGGAGTTGGGGTGGGGGGGAGTTGGGGTGGGGGACTACTACAACCAGAACTTGGGACTCGTGGGGTAAAGACGGGCGCCGAGGAGACGAGGCGTGAAAAGTCAATGCGTGTATTGTCGGAGCGATGTTTGTCTTTTCCAAAAAAATACTTTGAAAAGAAAATACGCATATTGTCTTTGACAACACGCATATTATATTCTTGGTTATTTTGGTAAAGTCACGTAGAAGGGAAAAAAACTATTAAATAATACAAATAAAACAATAAAATTATCACGAAGTTTCGATTGTAACACAAGATATCATCATCAGGTGTGAAACCCACAGCAAGAAAATTTGAAATTTTATTGTTTTCTTTTTATTATTTTATTGTTTTTTCCCTTCTACGTGACTTTTACCGAAAGAACCAAGAATATGAATCACTACAGTCACGAAAGCTTTAAATCTAAATAATACGCATATTGTCAGAGGCATGCTTGTCTTCGAAAAGACAATGAGTGTATTAAATCTTGACTTAAAGCTTTCGTGACTGCAGCAATTCATATTCTTTGGGTCTTTTGGTAATGCCACGTAGATAGAAAAATAATAAAAATAATAAAAAATAATCACAAAATCATGACGTTTCCATCGCAACACAAGCAATCGTCATCAGGTGAGAGCCTCTGAAGCAGGAAAGAATATATATAAGCAGGAAAGAATATATTTCCTTCTTCAGCAAATGCGTGTATTGTCAGAGGATTGTTTGTCTTTGAAAAGACAATGAGTGTATTAATTCTAGATTTGAAGCTTTCGTGACTGCAAGGATTCATACTTTTAGGTTTTTTTCGGTCAAGTCACGTCGGTGAAAAAAATAAAATTTAAAATTACTAAAAGTAATAATAGAAATAAAATAATTTATTATTATTAAAATAAATAAATTTCTACAATAATAGAAATAAAATCATTTATTATTAATAAAATAAAAATGTACTCAAAGTAATAATAGAAATAAAATAATGTATTATTTTATTTTATTTCTATTATTACTTTTAGTAATAAAAAAAAATTCACCTACATGACTTTACAGAAAAAACCTAAGAGAATGCGTGTATTGCCAGAGGCATGTTTGTTTGCACGTTCACCGCGAGTACTGTGTGTGGTTAATGCAGTACTCGGTTCTTTGCAAAATGTATCTATTTGGTGTTTGAACATCATAACGCCTCCTTAATAGAGGGGTTTGGGGGGGTACACCTGTTTCATTGCCAGAAAGGTTAAAACACTTTTATTATTTTTCTTAATACACTCGGCTACCACACCGTATGCCTTGGAACGGATCAACAACTTTAAACAATACCTGCTGCCTTTTTTGTTCAAACACAAAAGTGTTGCTTTGGTATTTGTTTGCTTGCTATTTAAACTGCAATTCTTCACGTGCACGTTTAACGGTGTAGTGGCGATTCGGGTGGCAGATTTGAACCTAAAAGGCGCCACGCACATTCACTGGAAACAAATGAAAACTTGAATTCGAAGAAGACATCAAAAGGTTTATACCATAGGAACCTCATTTGGCAGTAGAAAAAATAAAAATATGATATTTTTTTTTAACCTTTTATCTGAGAACAAAACTGACACCTTTTTTACGAGTCATGTTTGCATAGACCACAATACCTACAGTCGTAATGTAATGCAAACAAAAACATAACTCTGATAATGTATGCTCTGTCCTTGAAGTGTGGACCAATCAACTTCAAGGACAGTGCATACATTATCAGAGTTATGTTTTTTGTTTGCATTACGACCGCAGGTATTGTGGTCAATGCAAACATGACTCCTTGTAAAAAAAAGGTGTCAGTTTTGTTGCCAGATAAAAGGGTAAAAACCCAATTATCACATCAAAAGGTGATTCCTAGACAGCGAAAAGGCGCGATGCCGACCCTTGGGATCGGGGCCCCCTCCCATGATGCTCTCTGGCAGCGTTCTTCGTCGCAAGGCCACGTGGGCCGCTGGCGGCCCACGTGGCATTTAGTGAGGGCCTCTAACGTGCGGCCACCCAGACAATACACGAAGATTGAAAAACACCTCCCCCCAACCCGCACCCACCCCAACAAAACTAAACACGCGCGGGGGTCGAGAACGCAGAAGAAGGAAATGAATAGACGTGTGTAATATTAACACGTGGAGGAAGATGCGCTTCACAAACAGTTGCAAGTTAATTCTAGATTTGAAGCTTTCGTGACTGCAAGGATTCATATTCTTAGGTTTTTTTCGGTAAAGTCACGTAGGTAAAAAATAAAAATTAATAAACGTAAAATACCTTTACATCATTTGCACCTAGTTTACACAACAAATGCCCATTCCTAACAGCTTGTTTCAGCTGCACCGAAACTCACAAAAAATATATTCAGGGCCTACCTTGGCTCCTCCCACCCTCAATCAGTATATATACAAATACTGTGTTCTTGGAATTTATCTCACTTGATACAGCTATCGTGCTGTGACGGTTCCACCTGAAGACGGAAGCTTGTGTTGCCTCCGAAACGTCGTGATTTTTATTTTATTTTTTATTTTACTTTCATTAATTTTATTTTTTTACCTACGTGACTTTACCGAAAAAACCTAAGAATATAGTTGCAAGTTAGCAGCAGCAGCAGCAGCACGTAGAGCAGCGTTCTCCATCGCAAGGCCTCGCCGTACCACTGGTAGCCCAACTGGTGGCCTTTAGTGAGGGCCTCTAACGTGCGGCCACCCCAACAATACACAAAGATTGAAAAACACCTCCCCCCACCTACCCACCCCATCATTGTGCTGCTGTCAAGCCCCCAACGCTTTCAAATACGTAGCGGCAACCTCACCCACACTGATGATGTCTTATCGGTGCCAGTGTGCCCTCCTCCCCACACCCCACCCCCGTCTCTCTTTCTCTCTGCGAGTGAGTGAAGAACACTGCCGGTGTGCGTGCACCTTCCTAATCAGCCGAGTTTCTCCTCGGGTTCACAGCCCCACTCTTCCGCGCGTCTGGCCCGGTCCGCGTGTGTTTGCTAGAAGCAGTCAAAGCAGGCGCATTCTCTTTGGGGCCGTCCATAAATGACGTCACGCGATTTCGGACGATTTTTGACCTCCCCCCCCCCCCCTAATCACACGGCGTCACAAAAAGTCAGACCCCCCCCCTTAAATATGACGTCACAAAGCTCTGCCCCCCCCCCCCCAAAAACATGCTTCAAATCGCTTTAAACTATTGTTATTGTAGTGCGTATTTAATGTGCCGCTGCACTCTGATGTTGTAGGAGAAAACATTTAATTAAAAGTCTACTTAATTAAGTACAACGTGTTGTCTATCTTTATTGAAAGTTGCGCATTTTGATGTGACGTCACATTCCTCAACCCCCCCCCCCCCTTCGTCACACATCGTCACAAATGTCTGACCCCCCCCCCCCCCCTAGGTGCGTGACGTTATTTATGGACGGCCCCTTTGCGCTGGTCGTGGGAAACCGAGTCCTGCTGCGACGAGTTGAAGGCAACAACAATGATCATAATTAAAAAGTGAATATTCGTTGTGATGTCAGAGCGAGTAGCCCGCGCGGTGCATGTATGTGTGCGTTGAGCTTCGTTCGCGTCGTGAGTAGCCAACTCTGCCTCCCGATACATTGCCACCGAGGTGGCGTTGGTGGCTCACATTGGGATCATACGCTTGAGACACAAACACACACACACCCGCCAGGGATAAACGTGCTGCACGCACAGAAGGCAAGGACAACACGTAGGTTGCGTGTCTATGTGTGTGGAGCGCCACCAAGGGCGAGGAGATGTTAACTACCTCGCCTGGTGAACAGGAGGTCGTGGGTTCGATAGCAACCCTGACGCCTGCTGCTGTATATTTGGAGTTTGCGTGTCTCTCTTTCTCTCATCATCATCATGACGGTGGCTAGGAGATCTTAACTACCTCGCCTGGTGTACAGGAGGTCGTGGGTTCCGATCCTGACCCTGACGCATGCTGCGGTATATTTCGAGTTTGCGTGTTCTCCTCTCCCCGTGGATTTTTCTCCTGGTCTTCCGGGTTTCCCCTCCACATTCAGAATCACCATCACGCGTTTGGGGCATTCGGCTGCTATAAATGTCCACGTGGCGAGCAGCCAAACTTCGTTGAGCCATCGTTTGTGATGCCCGGGTCGCTTCTGAAAAAGAGCTACACAGCTCACATTTTGACTTAAAACTCTCGTGACTTACAGGAATTCATATTCTTGGTTCTTTCGGTAAAGTCACGTAGATAGAAAATTAAAAAATACTAAAAACCCACGACGTTTCGCCTCTTTTCTCTCCGCCTGATGACGACCTCTTGTGTTGCGATCGAAACGTCGTGGATTTTTTTAAACTTTTTTTTATTTCCTATCTACGTGACTTTACCGAAAGAACCAAGAATAAGCTACACAGCTCAGTGGGGCCTTAACCTGGTCAAATAAAAATAAAATGTTCATAAGATTCAGTGGGGTTTCGATTTAAAGCTATCGTGACTGCAGGGATTCATCTTCTTGGTTCTTTCGGTAAAGTCACGTAGAAGGGAAACAATAAAATAATAAAAATAAAACATAATAAAATACAATTATTTCCTTTCTACGTGACTTTACCGAAAGAACCAAGAAGATGAATTCAGTCGGGTGTTTGTTTTCTCGCGCGCGCGCGTGTGTTTGTGTGTGGGGCGGTTGGTTGTACCTTTGCACAGGAACGCGAGCGTCCAGAGGACAGCGTCCTCGACAAGTAAACATATCCTGCCAAACCTCGCGAGCAAAGAAAGGGGCAGGAGACGCAGAGGCAACACTCCCGCAGGACCAACCCCCCCCCCCCCCCCAATAACCTACGCTGCAGTGAGAACTGCATAACGCGTCTGTCCAATGGTCGCAGTCGAATTCGTACTAAGTGGTTATTTAGAGATTTAAATCGTGAACAAATATATGTACTGGCAGCAACGTATGCT